CAATTTATGATATTATTTAATGTAACTGAACTCCCGAAGTTCTACAGCTTCGTTAACATTTTCGAGTGCTTATAGTGGGACATTATCATTTAAATTTGGTTAATGAGTTGGTTTCATCATCGTGTGAATTTTTTCTAGAAAACGAACTCTTAATAAGCTGCGAGGTTATTCATTCTGTCCATTTCGGTTAATTTAGTAGTGGTATATATTTTTCGTCTCTGTTTTTCCCATTGAATCGTGCTGCTGTGAGCATATTGAATCTTTTTTACAACGTTTTTTGTACGATAATATTTCTTTTTCTAAAAAAAAAACTTTAAGAAACTACGAAACATTTCATATATTGCCTATAATTCGATAGTTACGTAGTTGATTTCGAATTAACTGAAAAGATTCCTGTTTCGTTACAGGAAATAGAGATTGGTGAAATTGTTGGCCACTTGTCCATGAGGGGGCGTATAAAATCAGGAGCACGTGGTTGCAAAATAAACTTCGTTGGCGTCGCGACGGCGTCCTCCGCACCGACGCGCAAGCGTTCTCTCAGTAATCGCACAGAGCACGTGGACCTTTTACATTTACTGCACCATCATCATAATAATATTATTTACTGAATATAATTAGCGGCAGATATTTTTTTGGCTTTATAACAAAGTGTGGGGGAAATTCAATTTTCTTTTTGAGGGAAAATGTTTCAGTAGTTTATGACGAAATTCATTTTTTTTGTTTGGTTTTATTAAAGTTGTTACGCCAAATCGCAATAAAGTTGACGAAAATTTGCCAAATATATCCATTGTTCAAACAGAAGTGTCTGGAAGAAGACGGTAAGGTGAAACAATGTTATTTGATAGGTGGTAGATGTATAGGGATGACACTTAAGAATATAAAAAAATATAACTTGACAGAAATAACTTGATGACTCTTGGAATTTTAACGCCCATCGATGTGTGATGGGCACAATTAATATTGTAGTGAAAACAGCCAATTTGATCTTCATGCTTTCGTGAAGATATGGCGATGCATACAAACTCGCCCTTTTTTATTAGTAAACCCTTTAAACGTATTATCATTTTTTTCATCTAAATAGTGCTGATATAAGTAAGACCCTTTGGGATGGTTTACTTGTACAATACATGGGCCAGATTTGAGAGAGAGCACAAATACCGAGTGGCAAAGTGCATCCTTTTCTTTCTCAGTGCGCTTGCTTTCCGTCTTTTGTACTATTCTGTCGAAATCTTAGACCAAGCGATTTCTGTTGTTATACTTATATAAAAAGCACAAAAGTGTTTAATTCTCATCACTACTAATGCTGCTGGAAGGAGAGGCAGTCCTTCCGGACTACGCTGGAGTGTAGGACGGAGATCCTCGTTATGCTCCTTCTTGGAAGAGGTCGTACGTCGGAATGGGTGGATGGTTGGTCTGAGAAAGATGAAACGGATGGAAATAACAACAGAATATAAGTGAAATATTTAAGAACAAAGGCTTTCACGGCCGGAATCTATAGTAGAATGAAGATTCGGGCTATAGGGCCGTGGTCTAAGTGAATTATTGTGTCCAGGCGTTTCGTCAGCTGACACAATGAACTTACTAACTTAGATCACGGCCCTATAGCCCGAATCTTCATTCTACTAAGGGTTCCTATATTTGATGTTTGACTAACAGAATCCCAAAAGACAGATGGTGGGATTGCCCTATTAAGATTTTTATGAAAAACTCATATCTAAGGCATCATATTTCACTTTAGTACGACTGATTTCATTTGTGGGACCTTATAAATCCTAGTATATCACTAGCCATCACTGATTATTATTATACTTCTGAGTGTAATCTTCAATTCTCAGGCATTATGGCTTTGATCAAACTTTGTTGTTCTCAACGTTTAGTCGACTTGTTTGGACGACTTCTGCCATGGTTCTTTTTCTCAGAAAGAATCAGCAATTATATGAACCGTGGTCAAGAAAGTTTGAATTAATTTAATACTGAGTGTTTGGACATTATCTACCTTTTCGATAAGGTGCCTACATTTTTCTACAGCCTCCCTTCCCTTTCTCCNACTTTTACTTTGTTCAGTGTCAGTAACGAAAGTGTTGTTTATTGAATTACACAAAGTAACTGCTAGTATTTGAAGAATCTATGTGACATATTCAAGTGAAAATAACCATAAATTCAGTACAGATTTTCAATACTTTCATAAAGAAAAACTGCTTTAAGTAAACTTTACATATTATACCCCAAATATTTTGAGCAAAATAAATTTAATGAAGTAAATAACGTGCAGGGGAACAATATTGTCAGGTTTATTTAACATTGGGTAACTTTCAGGAATCTTTCCCGTGTATCCATGTATTTATAAACGATTTTGTATAGGTACCTTCTAAGGAGTAGACAATTAGGTGTAAATCCATCTACCACATCGGTTTTCCAACGAGCGGACGTAACGATTTAAATTCAAGAAGCATACGAGGTGGTGCCATGCCACCATTCGTCCATCAGTGCGTTTCCGCAATACGGTTCTCACGCTTACTCGGCAATCCTTAATATGCAAAGCAAATGTAACGTAGTTGTTGTAAAGTAAATGCAAATCGGATAAAAGAGTAGGCCCCAAGTATATGCCTGTGTTCTGTACGTTTACTTTACGTATTATTCATATGTTTGTGTCGGCATGCATGTACGAGATGGATTGCCAAATGCATTCGAAATACAATATTTTGCTTATTAGCATGTCAGTGGGTTGATTCAGTTGATTACCTTGGGAAGATTTTTTGGATGGGATGGATAGATAGATGGAAGGATGGTTAGAGAGGACGCTATGCAAAGGCTACTAACGAGGTCTGTTCATAAAGTATGGCGAATTTTGTGTGTTTTTAGATATTATACAGTTGTGCCGACGTTTCAAAAAATCATTTTTTGTGATCTTGTTCAGCTCCTCCTTCAATCGTAGCGTAGCGTCGTCCTTTTAAGGACCTGTTCAGTTTCGGGAACAATAAAAGTCACAGAGGGGCAGATCTGGGGAATACGGTGGCTGCGGTATTATTAGTGTGTTGTTTTTGACCAAAAATTCGCGCACAAGCAACGATGTGTGAGCAAAGTCAATTTTTATTGTTCCACAATACGGGAGTTACCAGCAAATCGCTTCGCAAAAATTGCGTATGCGCAGGTAATACCCTGTGGTAAGAACTAATGATGCACCACGCCCCTGCAATCGAAGAAAACTGCAAGCAAAATCTTCACATTCGACCTAAGTTGGTGCGCTTTTTTCGGTCTTGGATCGTGCGGTAGCTTCCATTGGGATGATTGAGCTTTGGTTTCCACGTCATAATCATAAACCCATGATTCGTCATCAGTTATAACACTTTGGAACGGTCATCGCGGCCAGAGACTAACAGCTCCTTAGCAATGTTATTGCGATGCTGTTTTTGGTTGAAATTGAGCAATTTTGCTACGAATTTTTCGGTGACCTGTCTCATGTTCAAATAATTAGTAAAATTCGAACGGAAGGAGCCAATTCATATATTTAGGTCCTCAGCAACTTCTCTAACGGTGATTGGACGATTGGCCAATACTATTTTCTTCACTCTATCAATGTTTTCGTCTGTTGTTGACGTGAAAACGTCTTTTACCATCAATAAATGTTGCTTCGGTCCAAGGTAGCTTCAGCATATGTCACAGTCAACATTCAGAATGCGTCCTCGCACTTAATTTTATTTTCCACACAAAGTTTGATCCATTTTTGGGAATAGGCAAAAGTCTAACTAACTGACCATTCAACATTGCCTAACTTGTTGGTATAAGTGAGAGACATGACTACCAACATAACGCCACAAAAAAAATCGAAAATCGAATAAATGTAACCAGCGGAAATTCAAAATTCACGATACTTTTTGAACAGACCTAGTACTACATTACATACGATACTATACTGCTGGCAGCCGGCAGGTAAACAAAACACGACAAATCGAAATTAAATTCTTGTGCAAATCAAGACCCGACGTTATTCAAATTGTTTACCCGACGTGACTATGCACCTAATTCAAAATTATGTTAATAAAAGATACACTGGAGTGCACTTTTCTTTCTGATAATAGATTCAATCATTTCGCTTCTTCTCAAAATTTGTTCAATAAAAGATTACCAGTAAGTCATGTCATATCAAACAATGGTAAATCTTACAAAGTGTATCTCAATCTCTGACATATTGAGAAAATGAGTTTGACAGAACCTTATGCTGCGTTTACACGAGAACTCGTGTGGTTGTCGCAGTCGTCTTCTTCCAGACGCGGCAACAGGCTCCGATTTTGTCGTACTGTTTAGTTGTACTGCTTTAGGTTTTTGCATTCCTTATAAATTTCGTCACATTTTGAAAATTTTTTGAAAGAGTTTACTGTCATTACTTGACAATCAAACGCTTCTGCTATGCTTGAAGATAATTATTATTTTGATAATTTTGATGAGGATTTTGTAAACAATATTTGTTTCTGATAGGTTTTAAGGAATTTAAAAAAAGAATCATGATTCAACTACTCGAATCCGTTCTAATTTGGACGCATGGCTATTACCGTACTCTAGTGTAAGCAGCTGATGAATATGACTTCTCACATGTCAAACAGGAAAATCTTGTATTTAACTTAATCCCTAGTACAAAACATTTCACACATGTTAATTTATTAAAATGTACTCTTGATATAGAAAGTAGACTTTTGGTTAGTTTCATTCTTGTATAAGACATTTTAATCGCCAGCTAATTCCAAAATACCCTATCATCAGCTGTCTCAGCTCCACAAGGTTACATTACAAACCTACCTAGGTACTCCAGAACCAAAAGATTAGAACATTGTACCGTAATTAGTACCTAAACTGTTGACGTTTCTTTGTTATTTCTCATTAACTCTATTACACTTTGAGAATTTTGTTAAGGTATACACTGACGTTCGTTAACTTTAAAATATTTTTGATTTTTATTTAAAAAGGTAAAATTATTGTTAAATGCTGATTTTTGTTGCAGCTGTATGGAATTTCTAATGGAAAAGGATCCGCTAGCAGCAACGAAGTCTACGTTCTGGTAAGTCATTTATTTATTTATTATTTTGTTAACACGATATTAGTTTGATCACGAATTATTATTGGAAAGATGTATTAATGTTTTCACCACAGGAGAATGTAAATTGTTGATAGCGATCATCGATATTTTAAAGCGTTACAAATGGCTAATGGTAATGATAAATTGACCGTGCATAAAGATATTATTATGTAAAGTGTAGTCGTGAAGTGAAAGGGAGAACTGAGTATTGAGCTGTAAGAAAGGGACTTTGAAGTTGTACTTCTTTTGACGCGTTGAGAGTAAAATTTTCGCGTAATAATGAAGTTGCGCGCGCAGCATGCAACGGAAGTGTTCTCTCTCACATGTGGCACGCTCTCTATTCTGTCCGCCAGTATTGGTAATTGATTGGAATGACATCTCAAAAGTTTTTTTTTCTTTATCTACTATCACAACACAGTTGGAAATGTATACCATTTGCACGATCACCTTAACAGACTTATAGGTTAGGATTAAAACAACCCTTTATTCCAGAATTTATTTTATGTTAATACAGAAGCTTTGCTCTATCCATATATTAGATAATGTAATTTGGAGGGAGGGAGGAATCCAGCTGGCCGTTGTAGTGCTGTTACGTAGAGATACGAAGGGCTCAATATTTACGTTTCGTAGACATTTTAGAATTTATTTATGAAAAACTAAATTTGGATAGGTGTTCAATGTCGTTTCAGTGCTGAACGTATTACTTACAATCCAATCTGGATCGGTCACCTTCAGTCACCCTCCTAACATGGTCAACCGGCCTTAGGCAAACTATTCAAGCTTATGTAATGCCTGCGTTATAATATAATTGACAGAGATCTTTAATGATACTTTGTGAAGCTCCATTACAACTTAATTTTTTTATTATTTCTGTAACTTTTCATTCATCAAACATATTTTCTAAATTTAGCCTAAAAACAGTCTTGTCTAACCAGAAAAATATCAGTAAATTATTTTTTAATGCTAAACAAAAAACAAACATTTTGGAAAAATCGTGAGTATAATAAGTTGGAGTGTAGTCAATGCACCGGAAACTACATAGGCCAAACAGGAAGAAATTTTCGAGTAAGATATAATGAACATGTAAACAATAAAAACACTTCAAATTTCGGAATACAGCTACTAGAAACAGGCCACACAGTAGATCAGGACCATGCTCGCAAAATACTACTACTATTTGTAACAAAGGAACGAAAGTAAACTTACTAGAATCTTTAGAACTAAGCCGTATTAACGAAAACAAAAGTTTAATAACTTTAAATGACCAAATTGATTTAAACAGTCCACCACAACTGAACCAATTTTAACATCATTTTGAACGAAAGGGTACAATTCAAGTTCCCCCTTTTTTTCAAATTTATAAAACATGAATTGTCCTATACCTGCATTCACCCCCAATGCGTTTCTTCTACATAGCAGTTGTGTTTGTTAAAATTTATGTATTTAATTTTTGAAAATGTTCTAATAAAAACGTTTTATTTCTAACCTTAAGTGAAGTATTGAAAAGTTACAAAAATAATAAAATACCCGAGTCAAAAAATTGGGACTCATTTTGTCCTCATTTGATCTCAATAGAATTTTTAGGGATATTTCAAACTACAAGACTCAAAAGTCTCATTTTATCCGCGGTTTTCCCGTATCAGGACAAAATGAGACTTTTGAGGAGTAAAGATTATTTAGGAAACCTCATTTTGTCTTCAAAAAGTCTCATTCTTTTCTTGTTGAGGTTAAATTGAGGACTATTGCCATAGGATTGCAGACATTGAGAATAAAATGAGACTTTTTAGAATCCAATGTGATGAGTCTTATGAAAACTTATTGAGGTATCTGAGATTAAAAACGTCTAAATGAGGAAAAAATGAGTCTAAATAGTTCATTTGAGGATAAAATGAGTCCCAATTTTTCGACTCGGGTATCGTTTTATATTTTACACTGTAATTTGTTCAAAGTATTTCTAATTTTATCAGTAATATCATTAATTAGTGATGATGATTTATTTGATGATGGGATGCCTTTCCGGAGCTGCACCTTTTTAACTAGCCTTATCTCCCAGACAGCTCACACTTAAATGCTCAATAATAATCAATATTTGTATGCAAAATTATTATGTGCATAAGTATGATGTACGAGGGTGGATTGATAAGTTTCCGGCCTGACCAAGAAAAACAAGGTTTTTAAAAATTTTTTTTTTTTATTTCTCAACATAATCTCCTCCAAGGCTGATACATTTCTCATAGCGGTGTTCCAGTCTATTAATGCCATCTCTATAGACTGATTCGTCAAGCTCCTCAAAATAACCATTTACAGCTTCGATTACTTCTTCATTGTCCGCAAATCTCTTACCGCCAAGCCATTTTTTGAGATTAGGGAACAGAAAATAGTCACTCGGGGCTAGGTCTGGAGAGTAAGGAGGGTGCGGCATCAATTCAAACTTTAGATCGTTGATTTTAGCCGTCGCAACGATTGACGTGTGCGCTGGTGCGTTATCGTGATGAAACAAGATTTTTTTCTTCGCCAGATGAGGTCGTTTAATTTTCACCTCGTGGCTCAAACGTTGCAATAAGTCTGCGTAGTATTGACCAGTGATAGTATTACCCTTTGCAAGGTAATCAATGTATATAATACCTCTTGCATCCCAAAAAACAGTAGCCATAACCTTGTTCGCCGAAAAAATTGTTTTTGCCTTCTTTGGAGTTGGTTCCCCTGGTCCAATCCACTGTTTAGACTGTTCTTTGGTTTCAGGAGTGTAGTGGTGGACCCACGTTTCGTCAACGGTTACGAATCGACGCAAAAATTCGCTTGGATTACGCTTATACAATGACAAATTTGCGGTAGAAATGTTTTTTCGAATCAATTTTTGGTCGACTGTTAGCAAACGCGGCACCCATCTTGCACAGAGCTTTTCCATATGCAAATGTTGGTGCAAAATATGTTGCACACGTTCATATGACATCTTACAGGTCTCAGCTATCTCACGCACTTTCAATCTGCGGTCTCCCAGCACTATTTGATGAATTTTTTCGATCATATCTGGAGTTGTGACCTCAACGGGGCGTCCTGAGCGAGGCCCATCAGAGGTGCTCACACGACCCTTTTTAAACTCGGAAACCCACTGCTTAACGGTTGAATATGACGGGGAGGATGTCCCCAGTGTTGAGTCCATCTCTTTTTTAATTTCCTTCGGCGTTAACCCCTTCAAATAAAAGTATTTGATGACAGCACGATTTTCCTGCTTTTCCATTTTTACGAAAACCACAGAGGCGTCTTGTTCAGCGTGCTGTCAAACCTACACTAGCAAGGAGATCGGGCTGAAACTATAGCTACAAGCTATCCAAGGATGGTACTATAGAATGTCACCTCAAGGTAGGCCTAGTGGCGTCATCTCTTGGTTAGGCCGGAAACTTATCAATCCACCCTCGTATACTCTTATACAAAATATCGAATCGACTGTATCGCATTGGTTGATGACACCAAGGCAAATAATGACGGTTGCATATTTATGGAAGACCGTGCAAACAATAGCCTCGATGCACTTAGATTTGGTAATAGTAGTTTCGCCAACTGTGGAATTTAAATTGATTTTATATTATCGGCGATGATTCAGATAGATTGTTTCAACATGTAATGCAAATGCAAACAAAGGTGCTAAACATCCAACATTATCATAGGCTAAATGCCCAGTGGCATACTTTCGTAATACGAGGTTTATCCAAATAATTTCTAATTTTAACAAATACCAGGAGTGCTACCAAAAGATAGCGCAGGATCAAGTCATTTTTACCAAAAACGAGTCACTTCTATCCTTCCACTTCTACTTAAAATTAATTTAGGAATTCTAAAAAGATTAGAAGTGTTTGAAATCCCATGGATAGAGGTTAGAAATGAGAAGGTATTAGAAAGAGTAGGAGAGCAGAGCAAAGGTCAATAAGATATAGATGAGATATGATGGTAGGACATCAAAAAGGATTAGTTAGAGACGTATTAGAAGCAGAAACAGGAGTTAAGAGAAGTAAGAGAGTGTTCACAAATAGTTAAGAATGTGGGAAATCCGCAGATTAGATCAGGATAGGACTGACGACACTATGATGATGATAATGATGAGGAGTGCTACAATAAATGTTTTGCAAGTACTTAATTTGTTTAAGGACAAATGTGTGAGTGTTGTTACACTCGCATAGTGTTAATAATAGGAAGGTGCAGATGACTTAACAACACTAGCGTCTATAAGAAGCAGAGAATCAGTCAACACAATCTTTACTCGAAATGCTCTAGTTATAGGGTCTCATAAGGTTATAATCTAAAGATTATTGCAGAAGCAACAGCTTCTACGACAGCGCCTCTATTATTTGTACTACGATCATAATGTTAAGGTAGGATAAGATAACACCAACGAAGTGACTGAGTGCAAACTAATAACTTAAATTCAAAATCCCTCTTCCCCCTCGGTATGCGCATCCATTATAATCCATCTTAAAAACATTTTCATAAATTTGAATGTACATCTGTCAGGTTTACCATCAAAACAGCTAAACAATAAATTTGATTAAGATAATTCCAAGAGTTCAAGCTAGGTTTATATTGTGTATCTCAAAAAAAAATATGTTTTTATTTTGGAATTGTGTAATGCATACAAAAATTCAACATCCTTAATAATTAAACTAGTTATCTCTCAAAACAATACCGTAGTAAAAAATATGTAGAAATTACGTCGGGAGTCAAAACAAGAAAATAATAAATAAACGTTTCGAAAATAATTTTCAATCACCCGAAGCTGTAATACGGATTATCATTTCTCGGTCGCTTTATAACAAAACCAGACCTTACAATCAATAAATGAGAGAGATATAATTATAGGTAGAGCGATGATCTTATTTCTTATATAAAGTGTATACGTATGTATAATAAGAAACCGATTATGTGTAATTAAAATCAAAATGAACATGCAGTAACATGTTAGATCCCTTAGTCTCTCGGTTTCTTCT